AAAACAATAAATAACTATTATATTAATAGTTATTTATTAATGAGATTCACTCCAAAAATAACAAAAAATCCTTGAGGAATGAATGATCGTTTTTCTTTTTAGAACTATTCAAAGAAGAAGAACAGCCATAGCATAAAAAATAACCTTTAATGCAAAGATACACCATTTAAAAAATACTAGGGTTAGGGTACAGAAGCTTGAACTTTGCACTATTAGGTCAGGGGCAACAGCCTACACGTCGAAGAATCCCAAATATGAATTAAGTAAAGGAATATTAATGGCCCAAATTTCAATCGCTGCTTGCACCCTTGCATTTAGATTGCATATCTTGACTTTTTGATTTGCCAAGGGTAATACAATGGAAATAGGAGTTGGATCTACAAAGGAGTTATCCTCTCCATCGATTAAAGAAGCCTTAAGAGTAAAAGCTAAACAATCATCTCTTCATGTTGAAAAATTACCTGCGACAGTAAACGTAACGCACCCTTAGACTGAAAACCTACTTTCCCACGTCTGCTAAATAAATTAGAACTAAAGAAATGACCTGCATAAAATACTGAAGTAGGTCAAATAAGTCGGTTTTAGAATATAAAAGCCGAAACTGCGAACTTAGAAGTAGCGAAAAAATTGGCAAAAGGACAGTTATATCTGTAATATTTAGGCGTAGTGCACAAAAAACCAAGGAAATTAGGAAATAGTAAATATGATCTCGCATATAAAGAGGAAAAAAACAAGCTGTGACAGTCAACTAAGAGACCGAAAATTCGATAAACATCGACCAACAAACATTAAGGGGAAATTACGAACGCCACTATTAAGACCTCTTAAAATAGACGGAATGTGCATCTCTCAGTAAGGAAGATATTGGCATGGCTGTTGGAAATACTCAGAAAACAAATATAAACTATCACCCATATACAGTATAATCAAAAGAAATGCAGTAAATCAGCTTCATTAACCCTAAAATGTGGCCAGAGACGAGAGAGGCGAATGTGTGAAAAATTAAGTTATTGCCTCTTAACAGTAATTAAACTGCATAAGTAAACTTTATTATATGTAGTTTAAAAAAAATGTAACTCTATGTGGTATAATAGTGGAAATAAATAAATCGAATATTAGGGTAGCATTCGAAGTTAGGGTAATCACGTGGATACGACTGGCTTTCTTCAGTTGATGCTAGAACGGATATAAAAAACGCTCGAATCCGGTAATTTTAACAATAACAATTACCAAGTGAATGCACACTGCATCAGTAAGCCAAGGGATACTCCATTCCACATAGCCAGACTTCGTGTAGGAGTGAAACGACCTATTAAGCATGAACTTCATCTATTAACGAATGCAAAATAGCATATATTCCTAAACCGTCTACTCTTTAAATTTATGATGCAAGCTAACAATCTATAAACTGATTAGTCACCCAAGAATCTTGATTTGTTGGAGTGAAAACGGAAATTACTTAATAACTAATCACCCTTTAATCTTCATTGGCGTTAAAAAAAATCATTATAAATTTGACAGTAAAGGAAAGGAAGAAGAAATGACCCGAGCTTGTCTAAGTACTCAGCTGGAACTAAGCCTTATAAAACAGTTAAGTATTCAATGAATTTATGAATGAATCAACTAATGGCTAATAAAGTGCTAACAGCACATGACTTGAGTAAAGAAAGAGTTTTACAGCCGATCTTGTGGTTATCTCAAATTCGATCATGCCTTTTTTTGATCTGAATTAACAGCGTGATCGTTCATCCACATCATTAACTGTAAATCGATGGGCATTCATCTCGCGACATCTATCTTGGCAATAGAACGCGCTTAAAACCTAGTCACTAGAGCACTAACTATTGACGATAAATTTCAATCACTTTATATTTAGAAGAGAAAAATCACGAAAGTTAAGTTGGCCTAGTAATTGAAATAAGTTTAACGAAGAGAGATTGGTTGTAACTAGTTTATCTCTACTGGTCTGTTGTTGGAAAAACGTACCATTAACGAGTTTAACAAGTTTACATGTCTGAGCAAAGCATGTTTGAGTTAGCGACAAAATATTCATGTGTCCATAATCCATCCACGAAAACAAAGTCGCATTCATTTTGTTGCCTTGAGTTAAACATAAAAATAAATTACTAAAAAAGGAAGCTTCCAATAAGAAAAAGACTGAATAAAATGAGTCATCCTTCTTATATGCCTAGGTTCACTAAAAGTAAAAGAGGCAAAACAAATGCAAAATGACAATTGGGTTAACATTCATACGTTATAAAGGGAGGAATGCTTAAATCGTAACATCTTCGATGATTCAACAGTTCACAAAGAGTAATAAGCCTCACATTTCCCTACAATATTCGATTCACAAAATAGTAGTATGGCAAAAAACATTGTACTCGTACTGGACGCATTTAGTACGCCGACACGTGTCCAATCATTTAGTGTAATAATAGAATTTAAGTAAACAATTCACTGTTTCAATAAGATAAAAAAATATTTTATAAATGTGAAAATATGCCTACTTCACTTTGCGTTCGCATAACATTTGTTAGCTTGAATAGTGCACACTTTATGAAAATACGAAAACCGTGAAATTCCAAATGTGGCAGAGGCAAGATTAACGAGGGGGGAGGGGGTGGGGGGGGGGGGGGGGGGGGGGGGGGGGGGAGTCAAATCTCTCTCTCTCTCCATCTTACAGATTAAATGGGGGGTAGAGAGCGGATTTTATTTCACAAGACATAAACCCATGGGAAGTAACTGGAATTGTTAACACTGTCTCACTCTAAATGGAAGAAGGGAAGAGCTGTGAAATGGTGATTAAAAGATTGGAATTATAACCTAACTATGCACTTACTGCTACAACTTTAAACACCGGGTTTGTCGTTAGCTATAAGGAACACCAGAGTCGCTCAGTGGTAATCCACTAAATGAAGTTCACAACTTGGGAGGTCTGCTTAGCTAGGTGGGTACCTGCGCATGAAACAGGAAAAGAGTAGACGTTTAGGACCGAAATAGATAGTCAAATGACAAATAATACTGTAAAATTATAAAAACCTTTGAAAGTATTTGGAGGAAAATGAAGCCATACTAACACATCGACCTACTCAGAGATGCAAAAGGTACAAATTGACTAAAGTGACATGACAAACCATTCAATAAAATCAACTAGTCGAAAAGTTGAAAATTAGGGCGTAAAAGAACTAATTATATTCCTCAATGCATTTAAAAGTAGAAAGACACATTTATGCCCTGACTTTATTCCTCTTCATATTTCGTGCGTTCAACTATTATTTCATGAAAAATAGTTGCACCAGTTTGCGTTGCCAAGCTATGGACCCATCAATTAATATTCTGCCATTTAAGGAAATGGATGTAAATATTCGCTCATGGAAACAGAAAAGCAAAGGAAATTTGAGAAACGCTACGAAACAATACATTAACAAGGCTAAAACCAAATTAATTAGGACAATAGGGGTAACTGGAAGAAAGCTAGAAAGATAGAACGAGCATTACCTCTCAATTCTTTAGACGTAAGTAGTTTCAAATGTGCGCTTTCTATGCCACCGAATTCATTCATGAAAAACGATAGTGAGTGCAATTTATAAACAACAGTAGTCAAAGTTAAGTCCAAATCAAACAAGGCCTCCCCCAACTATCTCATTCCAAAACGGTCTACAAACCTTGACAGTATTCATAACGCAAACTAGAAGATCTCAAAATCAGATATTTAGGGGGAACTACTAAACACGAGTGGGTAAAAAAGTATACTACGCAATACATAACTGAATAATAATTCACAAAACTAACTATTCAAAAGGGTAGCTTAAAATTGAATTGAAAGAGAACAAGAATTAGTGACATTTGTCATTTAAATCACGGGGTGTGTATCGACTAACACACTGTAATGATCTGCTGGTACACGTGCCGACCGCTACGCCATAGACGCGCTTATTCAACTACTAATAATGAGAATTAGATGTGCAAATCAAAATACAATGATACACTGAAAAAGAATAGCCAACGACAGAAAATGTATTTTAAATCAGCCTATATATCAGCTTTGGCGTAGACACGGCATTGAACGGACATTATTGGAGATGACTACTTGCGATAAATTACCACGTCAAGCCATCTTTAAAGTATCAATTAAATTGGCAAAGTTTAAAGGAGAGGATTAGGGGGCTACTGTTGCAAATAATCAAGTGGAATACAGTGATGGGAATAGCTAACTGCACTACTTAGCATTAGCCAAAAAAGGCATGACTGAGTGCAAGAGTTGCAAGGAAAAGACCTGCCTAAGTGAATAGCAAAACAAAAACAAATTACTACTATAAATACTTAAGACACTATGAGTGAAATGTAATTATCGATCGAAACTACACGCACTGTATGACGTAATAGCCAGTTAACGAACCTTAATCAAGTTTATTGTAACGCAAATTAGATTAACTTTATTCAAATTTAAGGTGTCTAACCTGATAGTGTTTGATAAAGACAACAATAAAATAGAAGATCACACACTCAACGAGTAGAATTAGGAAATAATAATACTTCGTAGCAATAGACAAGATAAAAAAACAGATCTAAAGTTGGGAACAGAAAATACCTATCCATTAAGGGATTACATGAGTTTGGAATTAATGGGCATACAAAAGCAATGGTTAGTACAGATCGGTATACGAAATGGGGTAAATTTTTTCATGAGTTTTAGGTAAAAAAATAGAGAAATAAGGCATATCACATGGAAATAAAATTTAAAAACTCAACATTTAAAAATTTGGATTATATAAGAATATCCCCTATAAATATGAATCCTGCAGAAAAGGTTATACGGGTTCGAAACCCATCATCACGAACACAAAATTGTCAAAGCCATTACACACAAAATCCTTCAAAGCGTCAACAGGAAGTTCGTCGATAGTAGAACCATCAGGTAAACCAATTCAGTTTGACGAAAGTCAACAACATATAATTGATCCGATCTGTAACTGCCAAAGTACGATTATCAAGCATTGTTAATAAGTTATGTTCATAGTTATGGACAGGCGAACAGGAGAGGTGGATGATAAAAATACCTGTTTGAAACGACCGATTTCTTTCCCTCGACTAAGCCAGCGTTTGACACAGAGTACACATGCATTACAGAGATCGCCTGAACGATCTGTAGCACCTTCACCGAAGCAATTGCCAAAATGTTCGGCATAGCGCTCAGAAGCTGTGAATCGTGAACTGGAGGATTTGGTCCCACAAATACAGCATCCAGACTTGCTTCGGAAGTGGGCGCGTCCTGATCCTCTTCCTGTACCCGTGCCGCTCATTTTTATTATTTGTTGGATGATAAATTAACTGGAAAAAAATTATACAACCATTGTGTTAGATAAGAGTAGATTCATCGAAAACACTAAAAACACCGTCGCAAGATAACTTATAAAAGTAGATTAGAGGTAAAACATAGCAGATCAAGAATAAATCAGTTATTAGAACTCCAATAGCACAAATACCGATGATTTTCTCAACTAATATTAGCTGTTCAAAATTGTCGTTGAAAACGAAGTAATGATAATTGGACCCATGAACAGGTGAACATTAAATAAAATAAGAAGTCAAATCGCTTTTGAAATAATAAGTAATGAATAGTTAACTAGATAGAAGTGTAAGGTGGCAAATTTTCATCTTGAGAATTAAGAAAATAATCATTAATTTACCATCGAAAACAAGAGCCAAAGCACTTTATACAAGACATTTATTACGCGTACGTAATATATTAGAAAGTTTTAAATTACTTTGCAAACAACTAAGCAAATTGAAACGATTTGTTGGCGACAAAGAAGAAATGATTTGAGGTGACACTTAACAGATGTATTAAAAACTGCGCTGTGGCCTGTGGAGGAATTCAACGAACCCACAATTTGATCAGTCAATATCTAATAAATTACAAATAGTTTGACATTAAAGTTATGGTAAATAAGTTCTCTAAAGTAATATAAAACCAAATGTTTGATCGATATTCTTTTAAAATTCAAGATAAGTAAGCTATATCAAAGTTTAATGATAACCTTTTGACTTTTATTCCTAAAACTTACGTTAATAGTGATTCATTTATCAATATCTATATGGACTAAAGCGTTTTTATTAGCTGATTTTGTTAATTTACATCTTTTCTAGTATTTTATTGATACCAATAAGTTTTATTCTCTTGAAATTATCATTTTTCACCTTAAGCAGTTATTCTATATAGGGAAGAAATTCTTTGGTTCCCAGATGTGGATTTCTTCAGAAAGTGCCTGTCTTGTTCAATTTGGTGATCTAAGTTAAATATGGGTCAAAAGGGAAATGTTGTCACAGGTGCGCCACTATTTCTAATATAACTGCAATTTATAAAAGGAAATGGAAATTGATAGTTTAATGTTAAAAAATTGCACTCCAATAATCTGTGTTCATTGGAGGATTAATCTGAAACTATTTTTTAGTTATTTCCTCAACACAATCATGGAACATCTTATTTTATTTGAAATTTAATTCCAAATACGTTGGACAAAACTAAAAAATTTCCCTTCTCTTCGTTTTTAGACAATTAGTTGCAACCCAATTGTTTCGTTCATTACTTCATTTTACTCATTTTTTAGAAAGGAATAAATTAAGAGGCAAATTGTCATAGCCTCTCCAGAACAAGTTAAACGGGAAGGTGTCAACTTACATCAGCAACTTTACAGCACTTGCTAAATTCCATTAAATAAGAAAAGGGTCTTCGAATATTGGAAATGAGGCACCACTGTCAGATTCAGCCATAAAATCGATTAGAAGCTTGGGGATGTAAAAGTGGCATTTATTAAATAAACACGAAAACCCGATTCCGGGCCACTTGTTTAGTAATAAAAAACTAAATCACTCTCACCATTTTGTTCTCTCTGAAATGCAATTGATAGTATGTCATTCAATACCCGAATTCTAAATCGTTCTTTAACGACGTTTGTGAAATGTATTAATTTAGTTGAAAAAAATCGGATTAATATATACAAGTGTAACATAATGGTATTAAAAAATTTTGATATTCTATACTTTGACATTATCATATTTTTGTTATGATTGATTTAAAATATCTATAAACAGAACTTACAGTATAATCATCAGATCAATAAATTGTTTCTTATATCAACATTTTATGCAATCTCAAATTATATTTTGATGCATATTTTCATATCATTTAAAAGTACTGTCTATATCTATTATTGCATTTTGATTGAAATTTTTAATTTATAAAATTTTAGTTTATGCATTTTTATAATTAATAATTTTAAGGCTTGATCTTGCAATGGGCAAAATGTTTCGACCTTCAGGTCTTTGAATTGCTCGATGTATTTCAGTAAATTATTCTCGCGCCTTAAAAACACATGGGTAACCGTTCCTCTGGTCTTGATAATGCAACATTGGAAATGCTTGAAAAAAAGACTAAAATGTCTCAAAAGGAAATAAAAGAATGGCACAAACGATTTAGTAAACAGTTTCCTGATGGGAGGATGAACAGAAGACAATTTGCCAACGTGTACGCTGAATTCTTTCCTACTGGCAACTCTGATGCATTTGCAGATATTGTTTTCAGAAGCTTTGACACGAACTCAGATGGTGCTGTTAATTTCGCAGAGTTTACATGTGCTTTGGGTGTCATTAATAATGGGTCTGTGGATGACAAAATTAATTGGGCTTTCGATTTGTATGATCAGGACAAAAATGGAATCATTACTCTGGACGAATTAACAGTTATGCTTGAGGTGAGCCTTTTATTTCGATATTTTCCATGTAACATTGTTTTATCATAGCTTGTTATTTATTCGGAAAATTTAAGAATAATGTAATGATTTGGCATTAAATTTCATTCATTTCTATCTAATAGAATAGTCGTTATGTGTCAAAACAGAATATTTTACTTTTTCATTTCATCATCTTCATATTTCCTTCTTTATTTGCGTTTAAATTAATATTTTACAAACAAATTTTCTTAATAGCTTAATTAGTTCCATATTCGCCAGTACTTTATTGTCCCCTTAGTTAATTTTTGTGCATTTTTCTTTAAATTTTATTACACAGATGATGATGGTTTAGTTGGGATTTTGCCTTTTCTTATGTTTTATATTATTTATTTGCTTTCATATTGAAATAATTGGCATGTCAGGTTTTCTCATGCATAGCTCCCGGTAGATCACGTTTTAATCAGTCAGTTGTTCAACTTTTTCATAATACCAAGTCTCGTTTCGTGTATCTTTGACAATGTTATCACATGATTTCATGGCACAACCCAATAAGCGCCTGATAAGTCTCCATTGATTGTTCATATTTTAGTACAATGAATTGGTAATAAAGCATTTATTATCATCTTCCAATAATTTCAAAAATAAGGACTGAAAACCAAATATTTATTGATTATGATATTTAAGTGCTTTCATTTAAATTTACTGCCTTTTTATCCCAAATTTGATGTTTTTTCAATAGAATCTAATAATATTAATAAAGCTTATAAGCAAGCAAGGTATTTTTATTAAATTTATGCGCTTTCATTGATTGCTTTCCTCTCAAGATCATGCTAAGAAATTGTTTTAATTTTATTTAAAGTTTTTATTTGTCGAGTAAATATTCAATGTAGTGGCTCACTCAACTATATATTGGTACCTCGTGGTTTCAACCTTTTATCATGACCTATTCCTTGTTTCTAAGGCTATCCTGTTTATCCACTTGTAGAAGATTATGATGACTTTAGGTAGTTCGTAAATACTGGCAAAACGCAGCCTCCAATATTATTAGTTCTTATTCATGCCTTCCAATTATTCTAGTTTCATTTTTGTTAGCTGCATACCTAGCTTGTTTGGTCCTTTTACTCCGACTCGACGGTTGACGGGAAACGGTATCTCTTTGTCCTGACGTTGTTTCTTGCTTCACACTCCTATAGCTCCAGACAATCATAGAACATATAGATGCCCTTAGGAAATTTGGGACTTTCGGTTAGGTATAGCAATTCTTTTCGTTTATTTGAGCATGTGCAGACTTAAGGATTTGTCGATAATGGGTCTTTTTTTCGGAATTTGAAACTGCTCTTTAATATCTCTGTATACTGGCTAATTTTTGCCCATCGGTGTTGCCCTTTCACCTCCAGATGGATTGCATCTTCATGTTAAATTTCGTAACCGAGAAAACTTAACATTTTCGCAATGTGGTTTAAGCTTGCATGCTTCAGTTATTGATTCGATTGTCATTTTTTATTCCTCAGCTCTTTCTAACAAATTGTTGACAAGGTTTTTGTCATCACCTTATGCAATGCCATTCTATATGCACACATTTTCTTTTCTGGATGGTTATGGTTATTTTTTTTGTTTAGAGTTATAAACTCTTCTTCTAAATGCTTATTCTAATTGGTTCAAAATAGTAGTCTTCTTGAGTATGGGGTCAAGATTAGAGATTGAAAAATCTTCTCATTTATTATTAACTATGGTTAACACGTGGCTCTGTCAATTCGGGAGTTTCCTCTCGGAAACCCTCCATTTGACCTAGTTACTTTTTTTATTAATAATTTCCTTAGTGGGCTCGGAAATTTCGCCTCGTTCTTTTGTCATCTATGGGCCGCATGACGGGAATTCTATAAAATATCTTGCCTTATATAGAGATGTTTCACTGTCCAAACGTAAGAATTTTAAAACTCTTTTAAGGTTCTCAGGTATTTGTGTATATTTCGTAATGCATAGAAAAGTGAAAGATTGCTTATAAATTATTAGTGTATCTGAGATGGAACTTGGTGGGGGAGGGGTGGATACATCGCCTTTAAGATAATTGCCACAAGGGGATAGAAGTTAATTTAAAGCAAAATGTCTATCTCCTTAACTTGAAGAACTCCATTGTTGCTTACTTTTGTGAGCAAGTAGTTGGAGCTTTGCTTGCAGGGCAGATGTGTGAAAGTTGGGGCATATCTCGGGTTTCAACCGCGAAGGCCCGCATCAATTTGCACTTCTGAGTCCCTTTCACTTTAGTATTGTACGTTGTTTAAAAGATAGCGTGCACTAGGTTTAGGGGGTTGTACGATAGAGCCACTACCGCCTCCAGATTCACAGAAAAGCTAGTTGTTGAAGACTAGGGACGCATTTTCTTCGTTGCACTTACCGGATATTGGGGTTTAAAATATTAACTATTTGCTTGGATATTTTAGGCGCTCTATAAGCTTGTGGGTGTCATTGATACGAGCCAGTTACCGCCCGGTCACATGACTCCAGCACAGCATGCAGCCGCCATTTTCGAGAAACTGGATGTCAACAAAGACGGCACTTTATCTCGAGAGGAATTCATACGTGGGACCAGTGGGGACCAAAATGTTATGTCTATGCTTAAATTCACCGAACCCTGAGGTGGTTTGCGCTTTTTACCTTCCTAACATTCCATCCCTTCCCAAAGTCCAGACGTCTTCCTTTTTATCCACCATCTCTCCCTTCTCATTCTCTTCCTTCCCCCCCCCCCCTACCATGTGATAACAATTCCAGACATCTATGACATTGCAAAACGACTACTTCTTATACTACTTATATTATGATAATGGGTGTTGCTATGACTATTATTGACAGAGTTCCCCCGTGTATCCTCTAGAATCATGTAGATTAGGATTGAAATATGCCACCAATATATACGTACTGCTTTCTTCTCTTCTGTATCTGCGTTATCAATTATTTGGCATATTGTAAACTCAAATGACTCAAAGGAATAAATTAATGCTACCTTGACTTATCAGTTGTTCTAAAGGCCTTTCTCGTGCCCATTTTGTTTACTTCGTAGGATAAAGTATTAGAGGTAATTCGCAACGAAATGTGCTTACTGAAAATGTTGCTTGGTGGGGAATTGCAGATTTCCTGCTATCACAAAAGTTGGCCCCATGTATGTTTGTCTATTTAACTATATGGGAGGGAATAATTCAAGTTCCATTGGTCCATTCACCAATAGGACATCAAATTAACGCCACTAGGTTGAGCACAGATTAGAGCAGATTCAAAGGTGGTTTAAGATTAACTTGTAACGGATTGCTACGCTAGTAAAGCCTGACTAACTCAGAAATCACTGTGGCAGATTCTCCTACAACTAGCTAGACTCCCAGAAGCCAAAATATAAGCACATCTTGTAGTTCAGAAATCAGTTGCTGGAATGCCAAGAAAGTGGTAAATCAGCATATATTTCGATGGAAGCAAGGTTGCTCCAGAACTGCTATACAGTTGCCAAGAACACAAGCCAAATTATGGTGTTCCCATTGGGGTAGGGTAAATGGAATTGATTAAATTCTCACTGAAACAATGCGAGTTATGAAACAAATGAAGTGCATAGCTTTGACTAATGTTAAAAATTGTCCTACTAAGTTGTAAAATAGCGAGTAGATCTGTCGATTTTATTGTTCAATAAATGAAATGATTAGCAATGAATTTTTACTCTGTTTTATCTTTACATATTTATGCAATTCAATTACGGCCTTTACCCAATCTACAATATTCTGACACCATATAATGGAAATACTCGAAAGTTAACCTTAAATCAAACTGAAAGATTGAAAACCTTCTGCTGAATTGATCAACTAATAAATCATTTTATTCCATAATTATTACCTGCAGCTTCTCAAACCATTTAGTATTCTGTACTTAAAGCCGGTATCTTCACAATGGTAGGATTGTCATTGGATTTACCTTAATGTAAATGCCACAATGACTGCAAGTTAACGAGACCTTAGCTTTTAAGGAAAATTATTAAAATTGGTCGCTCATCAACAATAAAAGAATAAGACCATAATTGGTAAAATGTCTAATTTTGTTTTAAGCAGGAGAAATAGTTAACCTGTTTTGAAATAATGAGTGCTTGGAACGCTTATATCTTCAAAGTTACAGTAATGGACAACTAACATTGTGGAATTTAAATCATCCTAGCGTAATTCAAGAAAATAATGCCATTTTTTTTGTAAATGGCTAACAATGCACCATACTTCCACAACTGGCGGAGGAAAGATGAATACGGATGAAGCAGAAGCTTAACGGTTAGAAGTGAAAGCCGACAGACGAAGAAAAGGAAGTCAGTAGCACTTGACCCCTCAATTGTCAAAGCAGTTGATCGAGTCCTAACCAGGTCCACTCAAGTGCCAAGACAGTGAAGGGGAAAATGGGGGCCACAACAGTGGACGCAGTAACCGCTTCGAGGTGAAGGATACTAGATCCCGGGGTTAATTCGCAATGCCCGAGGGGGGGGGGGGGGGGCTTCAATTTAAACAAAAAACTACTAATTTGATCATTAATGAGTCTAGTAATTCCCCTTAAATGAGCAATTGAACTTCGTGTAAGAAAATTTTGTCTTGTTAACCTTTGGAAGAATACTTGGATCTCAGTAGGAAGGATCTACACCTCTTGAAAAACTATGATAAAAATATGCATAAAATGCTAAAAAGCATTAACTGCTATCTCGGGGGAGGATAGAACAAATTTCAATTTTGGAACATCAGCTACTCATTTAGTAAGTACTCTTGACTTAAAACATGACTTTCAGAAACCATTTGATGCCTCCAATTCGTCATCTGTTGAATTGCGTTTTTCAATGTTAGCCACTTCTCATAATAAAAAACCTCGTACAAGTTTTCATAACATTGTGGGTTCTGTTATAATAAAATATTTGGTCGCTGTGAATTTAATTACTGATGAAAGTTCACAATTAAAAATAAAAATTATAGAGAAAACGTAGTGAAATAGATACCTACAGAGGTAGAATTAATTTAAACAACTTCCTTCGGGCTTTCTAGAGATGCTTTTTAAACTGACATTTATGGTTACGGTATTTTATAATCCGCAGGTTATTAATGGAAAGCAGTCCCACAAGCTAAATTATTTTTTGCGCCAAATTTAAAGCCACCTATTAAAATTGGAAAAAAGAGACTCAAAAGTTTTGCGCAATCATGATAAAAAGGATGTTCGAAGGGTTATTTTATAAAAAAATCTTGTAACTTTCCTTTGTTCGCTGTCTTCTTAGAATGATTACTTTTTCCTCAAATACTGTTACTCTGAAGTGTACGTTTAGGTCACCTTACAACAAGGAATAGAAGAAGAAAGAGTGCTTTAATTTGACATTCCAAATAATAAAGCAACAAATAGTTAGTATTCAGAAGTTTCAGCTTATGAAAAAATCTTTATTTATATCGAATGGCAGGCATATTGATAGTCATCATTAGCCCTTTAGCTGACTTCGGAATTCACAGAGGGGTGGAGGGGAGGGGAGGGGGGAAAGGAGAGTGATTCACAGATGTAAAGTGAAAGATAGTCACATAGGCAGAGAAAAGGTAAGATGAGTACTGTTGAAGTGGTCGAATTTAACATACAGTGGGGTCATGGTAGTTTGAAGTCAGATGTCAACTGCCGAATAATAGACTTTTTGCCGTATGAGTATACGTTGCCCAGGATGCACCACGTGGAGGTAAGTCTATCGCACACCCCAAATCTTCATTTATAAAATAACAAGAACTTCCAGGACATTTACGTTATCTTGACCCTTGTGCCTCACTAGATTGCGTTAACC